TCGACAAGAGCTTTTCTGTCGCACGTGAGAAATTTAGATTGCACTTTTTTCTATATATCCTAATCCTATCATTGCAGGATAAAAAATAAGATACCTAGATATTCATGAAAATGGAAAATTGCATTTTGGCAGTCTTATAAAACTATTGTTTGATTTTATTTGACAAATATGATTTTTCATACCGATATGGTTTACATAAAATTCAAGTTTATTTTATAGTCTAGTCAATTCAGTGAACAACCTTCAACTAATTGCAACACAAAGTTTTTCTCTGAAAAACAAGTCTGTTACTATCTATGAACAACATACTAAAATTATACAAAAATATATTTTGCGGAAAGTGGTGTAATTAATCAAAATTTTGTGTAGTAAAAGTAAGGTTATATGAGTTGCTTCCCAGCAAACAAAATAACGTTAGTATAACGTTGGTATAACGTAAACTTTATGTTATATTTACGTTACTGAGAGACGTTTATTTTACGTCATTTTGTAGACTCCGATCAACGTGGAAGTAACGTTAAAAGTAACATTACAAGAAACATAAATCAAACGTTATAGTAACATATCTGCTAACGTTGTTTATTAACGTAAATCCAACGTTAAAGTAACATTTCTTAGATTGTAATTTTTTTACAGAAGACTAACGTGGTGGTTACGTTTTTGAGAACGTTTATTTTTTATGTAAAACTAACATTAAAGATACATCTTTTTATAACGTTATTAATTTATGGAAGACTAACGTTTGATTAGTATTTCTTACAACGTTGTTTTTTTACAGAAGACTAACGTGGTGGTAATGTTTTTTTAACAATGTTTGTTTTTACTCAAAACTAACGTTAAAGTTACATTTCTGATAACGTTATTTATTTACAGAAGACTAACGTTAGAATTATATTTTTTACAACATTATTTATTTACGTAATATTAACGTTAGAGTAACACTTCTGATAGCGTTATTCATTTACTGAAGACCCACATTAGTGAAATGTTTAAAAAAAAAAATCATTTACTTGCGTTTACCATAAATCAATTCCTGTCTTGTGAAATCTTAATGTTTTATGTTATTCCTGAAATTCTGTATAGATGGATATGGCAGATGTCTGTTTCTGTTTTATTCATTCACAACTAGTTTAGTGAATAGACATCTATGTTGTTGAAGACTATATGCTATATTATGTTCCCATCTAAATATAATTTGACTACTTTTGTTCGTCGAGTTGCTGTTGCATTGATGTATACCTCACGTCTAAAAGTGAGGCGGGAGATACCTATGGGATAGTTAAACTAGAATAGTCGAAAAATAGCCGACAGTGCTTAAGGCACACTTAAAATTAAAGGGTCATCTTTTAATCTAAAGATTTACTTAAATGGTATTCCAATACAATTAAATGCACTCTTCTTTTTTTACCCTGCCTCTCAGCTCTTCCTTACTAGTATTTCCATTGAAAAGTTAGATCATTTTGACATTACTGTTGGTTGAAAAACTTCAGCTTCAGGTAATAGAATACTCCAAACAAATGCATAAAGATGTGTTTTCATATTTAATTTGATCATATATTATGTATATATATTATACATTATCATATATTATTTATCATTTATATAATTTGTATCATTGAAGAGTCATTTAAAGAGTCACTCAGAGTCTGATATATCCTCTCTTCTTCTTGAAGCTGGTTTCTAAAAAACACAATAAAAAATAAATAAAGGCAATAGTAATGCAAATTTTAAAATGAATTTTATACATAATGAAAATAAATGTAAGTTTATTGATTTAATTAAACGAACCAACTTTAAACATGTAGTAGGCATGCTTGTTTTATTAGTTGTTATTGGTTTTGAACTAGCTGATGAGTTAAGCCCTTTTCAACTGATTTTTATAGTTTGTTCTTATGTTGTACTATAACACCACTGTCCCAGGTTAGGGGGAGGGTTTGGCGAAAACAAACTTAGTTTAACCCAGTCACATTCTCTATGTGCCTGTCCCAAGTCAGAAGTAATTTAGTGGTTGTTGTTTGTTGCTGTATATCATATTTGTTTTTCATTCATTGTGTTGTACTTAAATCAAGCCGTTAGTTTTCGCGTTTGAATTGTTTAACATTTTGTCATTTCGGGGCTGACTATGCGGTATGGGTTTTGCTCATTGTTGAAGGTCATACAGTGACCTTTAGTTGTAAACTTCTATGTCATTTGGTCTCTGGTGGAGAGTTGTCTCATTGACAATCATACAACATCTTCTTATTTTAATATAAAAGCAGTTAACTTTATGAATAAAAATAAATTGTTTAAATTGAATATTAGGTCTTGGACAAACACTTTGCCTTCAAGTATCTTAAATAACTCCTCTCTACTTTCTGTTCTGATGACACTTACTGCAAGCAATAAAAAATGTCTACATTTGTAATATAGTATGGCAAATCTCATTTTGAAAAGGTTCATTTAAACATAAAATAGAATACATGTAGAAGAAAATAGAAATCCAACTTGTAGGCAAAATGCGGAAACAGGATCTGTTTTTTTATCTATTAAAAATGAATACTCTGTTTTAGGTTTTGTTACAAACATCTTTCTTATAGATAGTTTTAACATGCAAGCTCATAATGTCATGCAGAGACGCATTTTTCCATTATAATTCAGCAGCAACAAACATTTCTGAATTCTTTATTTTTATGTCAACTTTTTTAATGTGAATGCACTACAAAATATCATCTACAGGTGGGTGTTTTTGTACAGTGAAATTGTAGGTGAAATTCTAAAATTGTCTCTTTAGATGGTACCCCAACCTCAAAGTGCCTTTTGTGTGTACAAAGTATGTTTAAATGGAACAGCCCTAACTGCAATGTTATCCATGGGAAAATCTAATTTATTGTGGATTTTAAATATAACAGTCAAATATATATATGCAGTGAACACAATCTCTTGGTACTGTTCCAAAATTGATTGTGGTTTGGGGCATGGGATTCACTCAAATCAAATAATTGTGTGTGGTTGTATTTTCCTTTTAATTATAAGTAAAATGAAAATTTTATATCATAGGTGAATGGGGTCTTAATAATAACCCTCCCATGCCAACTCCCACCACCACTTTTCTGCATTTAATTTTCTGTAACGCCCTTACCTAAACGGGTTAAATAACAACAAAATAATAGATCTGATTATAATGATTTTTTTTTAATGCATAATTAGCAACAAAGATTATTAGTAGCATGTGTTTTTTTTATCTGGTCAGTCACAATGGTAACTATAGAGGCTCTCAAGAGCCTGTCGCGCTCATCTGTATCTACTGTGGTTTGGGAAATCATGTAAAATAAGGTTAAAATCATAATAAATAGTATTAGATACCCTAATAATGATTGAAGCCAAGTTTGGTTTAATTTGGCCCAGTAGTTCAATCAAAAGCAGAAGATTTTTTAAAAAGTTTACAAAAATTACCAAAAAATTGCAGAAAATGACTTTAAAGGACAATAACTCCAATAAGATGTCAATTGACGATTTTGGTCATGTTGACTTATTTGTAGACCTTTCTTTGCTTGATATTTTTGCTGTTTACAGTATATCTCAATCTATAATGATATGCAAGATAATTAACAAAAACTGCAAAATTTCCTTAAAACGAGATATCATTGCAAAAGGATGCTGTCATGAAAGTCTCCCAAACGAACATCAATTGAATACCCCTCCTCTCCAAAATTTATTTCACCCAGGGCCTGTATAATGCTGGAAATGCCTTTGTTTTTGGGAACACCCCTTCAAAAAAAATTTGGGCAGGGGTCTCCCTGACCCGCCAGGTCGGGAAGGGCATTCACCCAATATAAGTATTCTGAAAGAGACGATATAATAATGGTTTATAGAAAAGTAACACTGAATAATTCTGAAAATGGAAAATATTAAGCAGAAATTATAAGCACCCCCCTGAAAAAATTGCACCCTCCCATGGAAAAAAATCAAGTCATCCCATTGTAGTCTTACAATAGTTACTGAAGACCCCTTATCATTATTTAAATTAGTTTTCAAGTTGTGACCAATTGAAATTGTTTTTTTACAATCATTGACTTCTATAGTAAACCCATATGTTCTACATATTGAATATGCAAACTCTGTAGGAAATAGAAGATGAGATGCATTTTCTTTTAACATGTAAAGCTTTGGTTAATGTAAGAAATCCCTATCTTAGCAAAATATTTAGTAAAAATAAAAATATTTCAAAACTTGATAACAAATCTCTGTTTATTTGGTGAATGGGAAATGAAGATAAAAATATTTTGATAATAATTTGTCAGTTTATATAGAGGTTTTAAATAAAAACAGGCTCCTGACTTCAGGACAGGCACATGTGGTAGGGTTAAGGAATCTTAGTGAGCTCTCAACCCTCTCCTTACATAGGACAGTAATGTACTAGCACAACATAAGACCATATTGAAAAAAGTCAGTTGAGAAGGCCTTAACCAATCAGCTCTGCACAAAGCACAAAAAACATCTAACAAAAAGACAAAAGACATAAATAAAGGCAACAGTAGTATACCGCTGTTCGAAACTCATAAATCGATAGAGATAAAAACAAATCCGGGTTACAAACTAAAACTGAGGGAAACGCATCAAATATAAGAGGAGAACAACGACACAACAAAAACACAACATTAAAATGTAAAACACACAGAAACGAACTATAATATAACAATGGCCATTTCCTGACTTGGTACAGGACATTTTAAGAAAAAAATGGTGGGTTGAACCTGGTTTTGTGGCATGCTAAACCTCCCGCTTTTATGGCAACGTCAAACACAACACCAAAACGACAACATCACATGACAGGACCACAATACAAATAAATAGCAGAACATATAGGACAATCGAAGAGTACACACAGTTACTGAAAGCTTGTTCAAAATAAAAATAAGGAGATGTGGTACGATGGCCAATCAAAGCCAATTGCAACTAATAAATAAATCATGTTTCCCAGACTAAATGTACATTATAAATTATTTTGTTCTTTCAGTGGTGGTAACAAAAGGAAATTGAGCACTGCCATAGCATTAGTTGGCAATCCTCCAATAGTATTTCTGGATGAGCCAACAACAGGGATGGATCCAGTAGCTAGGCGACATCTGTGGGATGTTTTATCCAATATACGTGATTCTGGGAGAACGCTTGTATTAACATCACATAGGTAAAAAGATTGAGAGGTCCAATTTCATTTACAATTGCCATATTAGTTGTAAAGAGGAGCTAGATTTCATGTTTTATAGAAAAAAATGGATTATATTACTTCAGTTTAAAGGAGTTCAAGTTCGTACATATCATTAGATATAATTTTAAATATTAGACATACCTTGATTTTTTTATATCTCTTGTTAAGTGACCATTGAAATTTGATTTCCGTTTTTGTCTCGCTTTCAAAGAAAGTTGCTCTTCTGGGCGGCGGAGGCAACGGCACAGGAGGATGTGTCATCAATTGTTAAGTTTTCTGCTTGAGTCAGTTTGATAGGAGCTACTTGTTGTAGATCAATGATATTTTGTATAAAGTTACATTACTATCAATACATATCAGTATGACAGCTAGTTGGAGGCCCTGCCCGAAGGTCAAGTCCAGCGACTTTCAATTAATAATCAATTTTCAATGTTAAGTTTTCTGCTTAAGTTAGTTTGATAAGAACTACTTGTGATAGATCAATGATGTTTCCTGTAAAGTTGCATTACTATCACTACATATCAGTTTGACAACTATTTCTAGGTCCTGACCCTGTAGTTCATGGTCCAGCAATTTTGAATTAATTAGCAATATTGCTGTCCATCAGATTCTTTTTCTGAATTTTCTGCAGACAGGCGAGACATTTCTCTGTGTCAACAGATCTTATTTAAAAGTTACCTCTGAAATTAAGGTATCAATGGAAATTTAATGTAGTAAAAAAGTGTTGGGTTAAAATAGGTTTTTTGGTGCCATATCATATGAAAGTGCTTAAAAGATTCCTTCAGCTAAAATTTGAAATTTCCAAGGTAAAGCAAAACACAAAGCATACACTAAGTATCAAATGAAAAGGGGTCAATGTGACATCTTTATATTTTAGCATGGAGGAGTGTGAAGCCTTATGTACTAGACTGGCTATCATGGTCAATGGACAGTTTAAATGTTTAGGTAGTCCACAACATCTAAAGAACAAGTTCGGTGAAGGGTATTCTCTACTAGCCAGAGTTGGAACACCATCAGATGGCACAGAACCAAATATTCAACCATTAATGAGATTCATTAAAGAAAAATTTCCTGACAGTGAAATTAAAGATGTACATCAAGAAATGATTCATTATCATGTTAAAGACACAAAATTGACGTGGGCCAAGATATTTGGATTAATGGAACAAGCAAAGATTAAATACAATATAGAAGACTATTCTGTTAGTCAAACAACATTAGAACAGGTTTTCATTAATTTTGCAAGGTCACAAATTCCACCGATAGAAACAAAATTACAATGTTGCCAAAAGTGTTCTATTGTTTGTGGTTTATGTTGTTGTAATAATTCTTAATTTGTTTATTTTTGTTTGTTTCTTACTGTGATAAATTGTGTAATAACTATATGTCTGACGAGTACTCAAAACATTAGTGATTTTTAAAAATAGTACTGACATTCATGCATAGATTTTATTGAATCAAGTGGAATATATAATTTTAGAATTAAGAACAATATATACTGATTTTTTGCAATTTTGTTGATTACATGTTGATCGTATATAATTAAGGTTTTTAACACATAAACAATATATATTTATAATAAATTTTTTTAGCTCAATTTTTATAATATGTATAAATTTAAATTTTGATATGATGGTAATATTAGGTAGTTGAATTGATAAACTGTTAAAAATAATTATAGATCAACATTCTTGTAATTAAAATCGATTTATATAGGTGGATTGTTTGAATACAGTGAAAACTTATTGTTCATTAAAGCAGTGGCGGATCCAGGGGGGTTCTGGGGGCTGGAAACCCCCCCCCCCCCCTTTTTTTTGACGATCAATGCATTTGAATGGGGATATATAGTTGGAACCCCCCCTTTTAAAAATGGCTGGATCCGCCCCTGTAAAGGACTGTTTTATTTTGAAGTGTGGTACCTGAATTTCTTTAATACTCCTATTTAATAGTACAAATAGTGCACATGATTGTGAATTGCATCTCAAGTTGTAAGTAACCTACATATATATCGTGTTTCCATGGTACCATAACAGTTTAAGTGGAACAGTCCTGCATAGTTTCAGCAATTTTTTTTAGGACATTTGTAATATTTTGTACCTGTGTATTTATGTATGTGTTCTTTGTATTTTTTCTTATCTGTGATAAAATAAACAATTCCACCTATCTTAATAACAATTATCTTTTAAGAAACTCAAATGAGTGTGTGTGATTTAAGGCCTTTTTAGACCCTTTATTTGATATGAGATATAATTTAAATGATGATGATTAGACTGTATTTAATTGAATTAACACAAAAAAAATTTAAATACTACTTTCTTTCTATTAAAAACGTATTACAAACCCCTTCCTGTCAACACAAATTTTGATCAATTGATGTTTTTTTTTTTAAAACATGAACATGCGAGTGATATTGGCCACAATACCGGATCAACAAACCAAGATGCCCTTTTAATATGGTAATTTGTAAGGTAACAGTTAGATAAGAGATTTGGGGTGTTTCTAAGACACATTATTTTGACTCCATGACCTCTAGGATTTGTTCATACTTTGATTGGTTAATGCCTAGCAAAAAGGAGCAAATGAAGATTATGAAGTTAGATTCAACCTGCCTTTGAAATCAAATGCATGACCTCTCGCATCTCTGGTACAAATATTTGGTTTTTTTTATGCCCCCGCCGTTTTTCATTCCATTCTCTAACTAGTTTGCCTCAACAAAATGTTATGAAACTTATACACCACACTTATTACCACAAAACACATATCAAGTTTGAATTTTGGTGGCATCACTTTTACTGTTCTAGAGTTATGCCTCTTTACAAATGGAAAAAATGCTGAATTTTTTGTTTCCATTCTCTAACTTAAGTTTGCCTCAACCAAATGTTATGACTCTTATACACAATGCTTATTACCACAAAACTCAGATCAAGTTTGAATTTTGATGGCATCACTTTTACCGTTCTAGCGTTATAAAATTTATAATGGAAATGGGGAGTGTGTCAGAGAGACAGTAACCCGACCAAAGAGCAGAAAACAGCTCAAGGCCACCAATGGGTCTTCAACACAGCGAAAAAATCCCGCTCCTGGAGGCAGGCTTCAGCTGGCCTTGAAACAAAAAGGTGTACTAGTTCAGAGAAAATGGACGTCACACTTAACTCCGAAACATATAGATGAACCAAAATTAAAAAAAGAACATACAGATCATTTTGGCAAATTTTTAAAATCTAATTTTTGGAAATAATTATCTCAGTTGTAAGGCAAATTCACATCTGGATGTGTATAGTTTTTATGCCCCCTCTGTAGCGGTGGGGGTATTAAGTTTTACCCTTGTCCGTCTGTACATACATACGTACGCACGTCCCAAAATTGCTTTCCATTCTCTAACTTGAGTTTGCCTCAACCAAATGTTATGAAACTTATACCAATGCTTATTACCACAAAACACAGATTAAGTTTGAATTTTGGTGGCGTCACTTTAACCGTTCTAGAGTTATGCCCCTTTATAAATGGAAAAATTGCAAAATTTTTAGTTTCCGTTCTCTAACTTAAGTTTGCACAATCAAATGTTATGAAACTTATGCACAATGATTATTACCACAAAACACAGATCAAGTTTGAATTTTGGTGGCGTCACTTTAATGGTTCTAGAGTTATGCCCCTTTATAAATGGAAAAATTGAAAAAAATTTATTTTCTTCTAAATATCAAGTAATTTTTAAAATTGGAGTTATCTTCCTTTGACCATGATTACAGTTGAATCAACTACAATCAATGCTTTATACAATGCAATTTTTAATTTTGACTTCCACTGATAAAACACAGATCAAGTTGAATTTGGGTAGCGTCACTTTAACCATTATTGAGTTATGCCCCTTTATAAATGAAAGATTGCAAAATTTTAAGTTTCCATTCTGTAACTTAAGTTTGCCCCAACCAAACATTATGAAACCTATACACAATATTCATTACCACAAAACTAAGATCAAGTACAATTTTTTTGTTTCCGTTTTCTAACTTTAGTTTGCCTCAATCAAATGTTATGAAACTTATACACAATGCTTATTACTACATAATACAGATTAAGTACGAAATTTGGTGGTGACACTTTTACCATTCTTGAGTTATGTCCCTTTATAAACATAAAAATTGCTGAATTTTTCGTTTCCGTTCTCTAACTTTAGTTTGTCTCAACCAAATGTTTTAAAACTTATACACAACAGTTCTAGAGTTATGCGTGTTTACAAATAGAAAAATTGCTGAATTTTTAGTTTCTGTTCTCTACTTAAGTTAGCCTCAACCAAATGTTATGAGACTTACACACAATGCTTATTAACACAAAACTCAGATCAAGTTCAAATTTGGGTAGCATCACTTTTACCGTTCTTCAGTTATGTCCCTTTATAACTATATGATATGCAAGCGGGGGCATCATCTGTGTCCACATGTGGACACTATCCACATTTATTTTTACCTGCGTTGATAAAGGCAGAAGCAGGTCTAGTAACTGCTCTTCTGCGAAACGTCCTTTCTAAAGAAAACTTTGACAAAGTTTATTATACCCCACGCAACGAGTTGCGGAGGGTATAATGTTTATGACCCGTCTGTCCGTCCATACGTCAGTCCGTCAGTCCTGTTTCTTGTCATCGCAACTCCTCTCAAACCACACAACAGAATTTCACGAAACCTATATGAACTATTGCACACTAATGATACCTTCACAAAGTATTTGGTAATGAAAGAACCTTAGTTTTGTTAATCCTTTAATTAGGATTTAGTGACCAATATCAAAATGAATCATAGCTAATACAACGACTAGATAAGAAATATGTCTTTTTGTTGAAAATTTACATACTTGTGCTCTATTCATGACGTTACAAATAGCACTCGTGTTGATTTTCCATGAAAATTCAATGAAAAGGGTAAATTTCCATTGATTTTTTGGAAAGGAAACATTGAGCTCATGTGTTGACAAAAAAGATCTTTTAACATAATGTTTGTTATGACATTTTACATATCTGATGATATTTGTTGAAGCCTGTGTTCTATATCCCTATGCCGTAATTTGGTTGAAATCCAGATGAAATTTTGCAATCTCTATTTGTGACCAAATTGGGATGTCAAAATCAAGGCTTTAAAATAAAACATTTTTTATCTTGTAATAATTTAATTTTGGATGTAACACGTCTTCTGATTGGCTGAAAGTGTTTTGTCTATCAGCTCATAGACATAATTTTGTCATGTGACTGTGACGTCAACATTTTTATCAACATTTACTCCTTTTTAGAATTAAATTATAAGGAACAACTGTAATATTTTTTCTGTCTTTTTCGAAATAACCCCAAAAATGTGGTGCACACTTTTAAATAACCTGCTACCTGGTTATTCAGTGTGCACCACATATTTGATGTTATTTCTTCATAAAAATATTAGTCATTCCTTAAACATTGAACCTAATAATCATAATAATAATAATCATAAAGCAATGGATTTGTAAATACATGACATAGTATAGCATGATCACTGTATTTGGCCCTTACCGAACTCACTCATTTCATGGGATGGATGGATAGATGGACAGATGGGTAAAACAAAATAGGAACAGGGGTATCATAAATATCACTTTTCCATAGAAATAAAAACCTTGATTCTTCTGGGGTTGGCTTGAGCTTGCAGTTGTAGAAAATATTGGCATTTTTAAATAAACTTTCTGACGCGTTAATGATAAATGGAAGTTCACTTCTACATCAGTTACATTAAACAACTCTTTCCCAATATGAATTATAAATTCACCAGATCTTGTTCTCAAATTATACAAATATTCCACCTGGCAGGGGGACATTGTATTACATAAGCAATACCTCAAGAATGTGTGTTAATAAATAAATTGAAATTCTTCCAATAAATCCTTAAAAATAAACTTACTTTTTACATTTTTTAACTTCCCTTACTATATTTGTCATTTGATTATTCCCCATGTGCTAAACAAATATGACTTAAAAAGTAAAAAGATAATGTATTCATAAATGTTATAATGAACATGTGTATTTGTTTTGACATTTATCATGTGACTAAGGTCTACTCAGTAATTGAGTATTTCACGAGTTAAAATAAGTGTTAAGAATTGTAACGGTAAATCTATGTTTAATTACGGTATGTGTTATTCGAAGCTTGCTTCATACAGTTGAGTCTGGTCATTTCTGATCCCCCACCTATCCACTTATATTTTATCAAAGTTTTATTTGATGTATTCATACTTGTATGTCTGATTTAAGTGGACATTTTTAAGATTTTACATTGTTGAATTGATTGGTAACACAAATTATTTTTTTTGTAAGTTGTGTATTGATTAATGACATGTTGAGGCAGCGGCTAAGGACATGCAGACAAATATGAACATTGGTGCATTGTAAATAAAATTGATAAAAGTTGCTTAACTGTACTGTCCAGAGGAGCTGATAACCCAAATAGTGTTTGGTTTTATTTATAAATATTTCATGTTCATTTGAGTAGACAGACAAGAACATAATAGAAGTTGTTGGTTATTTAAGGTGCATGAGATGAATTTCAGTCTATTTATAGTTGGGAAGTTGTGGGTCATTTAAGGTTTGTAAGAAGAATTTCAGTCTATTTATAGTTACTCTGACCTGGTCATATTCAAATCAGTGTTTTCCCATCTCCATCCACTCCAGACAAGTTTAATTTTGAAACCAAATATTTTCCTGAATTTCATATAAAAGCTTTTGTCACCTTAACCAGAGGTCTTTTCTTTCACATGACATTATCACCCAAATTTTAGATGCAATTAAATAATAGCTTCAATAAACTGTTGACACATGAGATGTGTCTCCTCTGTTAAATTTAGATAGTAAAGTGCAATGTTGAAATTAAAAGCAAAACTTAAACATGTAAAATATGCAAAATATTCAAAGTCAATGAACCTTGATTGCATGTACAGGACCAAAAAATTTCCATTCGAATAAGATATGTCAATGTTAAATACAACTGCATACCAAATATCCTTGACTTATCATTAGTGGTTCCCACCTAGTCACAAAATTTAACATGTAAACTATGCAAAAGTTTTAAAGTCAATAGACCATGACTGAGGGGGCAGGACAATTAATCTCCATGGTAATGAGACGGGCCAATGCTTATACAACTGCATACCAAATATCATTGACTTACCATTTGTTGTTACCCTTTAATTGACCAAAGATCATAAACTTTTAACATTTAAACAAAGCAATAGATTTCAAGTCAGTAAACCATGACTGAGGTTGAGGTCTAAATAATCTCTATGGAATTCAGATACAAGTGCCAACATATATCACTACAAACTGCTCAGAGTCTGAAAAGACCATTTTTTTGTTACTGGTCGAGCACAGATTTTACTTGATAAGACTCAACATAATCTTGACAGTACTTAAATGTACTTAACTGTACTTGACTTTGGTCTCAACTTTATTTAATAAGTCTGATTGAGTACCTGGTAATCTTGGTATAGTCTGAAATGGTCTCAACAAATGCTCGACCTGTCTACTCACTCACTCTGACTCAGTCTTGACCTTTAACTTTAGTCTTGACTGGTCTAAATCAGCCCATCTAACTCAATTATATATTGATCTTACAAAATTCCAGGTTATTTGGTAGTTTGGTTTATTGCTGTCAATTAAAGGATTTAATAAATGGGTAGAAAAAAGCTAGAATTTTCAGTTTTGATTAAATTCAGATAGTCACCTTTAATTATTTCTATAACTTTTTCAAATCAACTTGGAATTTCATAAAACTCTACAGCTATCTCAATTATACATTGATCTTACAGAATGCCAGGTTGTTTGGTAGTTTGGTGTATTGCTGTCAAATTTAAGGATTTAATCAACAGGTGAAAAAGCTAGAATTTTTAGTTTGGACTGAATTCAGATAGTCACCTTTAAAATTTGATATAACTTTTTCAAATCAACTTGGATTTTTATAAACCTATACAGCTATCTCAGTTATATATTGACCTTACTGGTCAAGCACAAAATATGGTCTTTTCAGACTCTGAGCAGTTTGTACTATTACAACAAATTATTGACTGCAGCCGCCAGAAAACAGCACACCTAAGTCTCTCTGTTTGAAGTGAGACAAAAATCATTACTGAAATGGAAATGCTGATACCCACACAGGCACATAACATGTATAAAATAAGCCATGTTACATAAATTATAAATCACACAGCAGAAATAAAACATTGTTTATTAATAAAAAAAAATATGGCACATTCCTTGAGCAAAATAGCTCTGCCATTATCTGAAATGATTTTAACTAATGAAGATACATAACAGTAAAAAAAAAAAAATCCTACAATTACATGTATTTTCAATCTTTTGAGATTTTTCAGTATGAATTAAACTTTTCTTTGTAAAAAATTTCACAATAGTAAAATGATTTACATCAAAATCACCGAACTTACACTTTAAACATGTCAACCCCTGAAAGTTACAAACATTAGACAACAAAACTGTCGGTCATAGTGCATCAGTTACTTACCTTGCTACTACATTTGTAGTGAAATAATGATGGTTGACTTGATGATTTTGAATAAAATAAGTCACTAATGATATAAAACATATAAATAAATCTCAATAGCAATTATAATAATAATATGTTCATTTTTTGTATCATTGGAGGCAATATAAATCATGTTCCCTCATGAGACACTTGAAATGTTTGTTTGCGATACTTTGATAACAGGCGATGATGTGGTCTGGAGTGTGATGATGCCGAACAATAATTTTTTATTAAATCCAGAATGAATTCCAACATGTTACCCTGTACATCATACAGAGAAAAGAAACAAAATCTGGTTTCCAACTGTTGTATCAAAATGTTGCTATAGCCATTGTAAATGGCCACCAAAAAGCATCCATTTTGTAATTTATAACTCTTGCAAGAAATGTCAAAATTTCAACTGAGTATTCTATGAAAGAACTGTCTTCTGCCATTTAAGTTGATTTATGAGATGATAAACATAACCAAGATGATTATAAAAAAAAACTAACTTCAAAACGACTTACTTTAATTTGATAATATTCAATATTTGCATAAATAATTAATTGCGCAGGGGACACTATGATGAACCATACACTGAAGCCTAAATATGCTGAATATTAAATGAGTTTTTATAGCATGAACCATCTCATCATCTTTCACTTTCCATTCATGATATTGTACATGTTCTTAATAACCATTGAGCAAATATCTAACTAATCATCAACCACTTTTCAGTAGTGTGTAGGCAATATACTAGTTGTGATTCAATAATCTATTGTATCATATAAATCACATAAAACAAAATTAATACTAATTTTCATTCAGTTTCACTAACCATTGAAAGATTTACGAAAAAAAAGTATTTTTTTTTTTTTTTTTTAGATATTTTTCCTTCATGTAATTGCCTCAAAGTTTGATTTTTATGAAACTGGAAATGTTATGCCAAAGCGTTGAATCTCTTAATCAATCTAATTTATACAATTTATTTTGTTTAAACTGATAGATGATAAAAGCCAACTTGCTTAGGCAAAACTTTGGGAAATCTAAGGTATAATAACCTAAATCTAGTATATTACTTGAACAATTTCTATTTAAACAACTATCAATTTAGAAATATGCTTCCATAAAGTTCCAAATAGAATTGAAATCCCGAAAGAAAATGCCCCAATCGGTTGACAGGTGAATAGTTTTTCCTGTAAAGAATATGTTTCCCAGCGTTAAATCAAAGTACTGAAGTACTGAACATCGGATGACCACAAGTTCTTGAGGATGGTCAAAACCACTTGTCTCAGAAAAAAACAACATATCTCTTTACCTAAAACTGAGGTTAATGTACAGAGATATATTTTTTTCTGAGACAATTTCGTGCGTGGATGATGAATAAATGACAGGAAATTCAACTTCACCGTAATAACTATTATATTGTAGTGATACACATCAGTATACACTGAGTTGTTGTTTATATTATATTAAAATAACAGTTACATATATATATGATTTGAATCCATTTGTATATCATTCTATTCTACTATTCTAAAAATAGTGCAATGCAAGTGCATGGTGGACACTTTTCTGTAAAAATTCGATTTTTCTAAGATTGGATACGAGTAGGCATTCATATTTTCCCGCAAAATCAATTACAGAGTTACCGGTCCTTGACGGTATTTTCACAAAACGTTCTTTGAGATATTCTTCCGCATGCTTTAACACAATTTTTCGGTACGTGTGCATTGATATTATCAATGATTTTTTACTTATATATATATATATCTAACTACAAAACATTTTCATATTATTAATTTATGTTGTAAACAAAAATATTTTTATCAGTATTCATTGAAGAGATGTATTTATATCAAACGTTAAGGAATGTTATTTTGCACTCGTTTATGTGCGCGTATTTATCATGTTTATAGATCGGTTACAAACCCAAAACTAATTTACATAATGGAAATCTAGGCGATAGCAATACATCGGGATGACCTCAAGGTCATCGCGATGTAATAAAAAATTACTAATCTGTATTAAACAAGTAATATTTTTGGTCATATTTTTTATAAATTAAAATTTGTATTCTGCTTTGAACATTTATTAATGCATTGTACTATTTATTGTAATTTGAATACATCCTCTTTTAACCAACTATCAAATATTAAATCTAGGAAGGAGGGGTGAGAATTTGACACTGCTTTGCATCATAGGGTCATTGGATATTGATCCAATCACACATGCCCAGTATAATTATCTCAGTTTTCAAGAGGACTATTTCAGAATGGCCAAATAAATATTTGGTACTATTTTGGCTTAACTGTCATAAATAATTTAATCTGGTTGATCAATATTTGATGAATGTGAAAAAATAAACAAGAGTGCACAAGCTTAAATGTCTCGCCTGCTCTACTGACCATTGATTTTATGTTGATAGTCCTAAATATAAAGTTTTACTACAAGTATCACATAAACTCAACAGCATCCAAGAAAATGAGGTTACGGTCAAACAAACCAAGCCAGAAATACATGTACACCTTACAATCATTCCATACACTGAATATAGTCGACCTATTGCTTATACTATACAAGAAACAGACCAAACCATGAAAATTTTATATTGACCAATGAACCATGATAATGAGGTCAAGGTCAGATGAACCTGCCAGACAGACATGTACATCTTAAAATCTTTCAATGCATCAAATATAGTTGACCTATTACTTATACACATGTAGTATCTAAGAAATAAATTTAACCTGGAAAACTTAACACTGACCAATGAACCATGAAAATAAGGTCAAGGTTTGATGATACATGCCAGAAAGACAAAATCAAAAGGGAGCTCACGTCAATAGATATAAACCAGTCACCAAAGTTTCATGAAAATTGCTCAAAGCACTTAGAGTTATTGTCCGAAACCTGGAAAATCCCCCTTTTTTAAAGAATAAAACCCCATAACTCTGATACGTAAAATCGAAAATTTATAAAAATCGAAAGGGAGCTCACGTCAATAGATATAAACAATTCACCAAAGTTTCATGAAAACTGCTCAAAGCATTTTTGAGTTATTGTCTGAAAACTGGAAAATCCCCCTTTTTTAATGAATAAAATCTCATAACTTGGAAACGTAATATTTAAAATTTATAAAAATCGAAAGAGAGCTCACATCAATTATAATAAACAATTCATCTAAGTTTCATGAAAACTGCTCAGTGTTTTTGAGTTATTGTCCGACATGTTGACGACAGACGGACGAACAGACTGACGGACAATGGTATACCATAATACCTCCCATAAAAGGGCGTATAAAAAACTTACTTTTTAACCACTGAACCATAGAAATGACGTCAAGGTCAGATAACTCCTGTCAGTTGGACTTGTACACATTACAATCATTCCATATACCAAATATAGTATGCTTATAGTATCCGAGATATGGACTTGACCACGAAAACTTAAACTTTTGCACTGATCCATGAAATAAGGTCTAGGTCAAGTGAAAACTGTCTGACAGGCATGAGGACCTTGCAAGGTACACACATGCCAAATAAAGTTATCCTATTACTCATAATAAGAGAGAAATTAACATTACAAAAAATATTAACTTTTTTTTCAAGAAAACTACCACAAACTGATCCATCAAAAAGGAGGTCAAGGACAATGGACATATGACAGATGGAAACTTCATAACATAAGGCGTCTGTTTACAAAGTATGAAGCATCCAGGGCTTCTACCTTCTGAAATGTTATGCTTTTAAGTAGTAGGTTAATGCTGCCGCTGCAAGATCACTATCCCTATGCTTGGCTTTCTGCGACAGTAGTCTCAGGCTTGACAAAAATAGCTCTTAAAAAAGTAAATTATATTATGTACAGATAACGTATTATTATGTACAGATATTTGATTGAACTACCTGCCATTCTTTGGAATTTTAATCCACATACAATATATTTCAAAAATTTGAAAATATTAAGACTACAAAATTTGTTTCATTTAATTATGTTTTTATAGAACTTTAAAAAGCAACATAGAGGAACCTTCAGTAACTTCTTTAAAGTATCATACAAAATCTAACTATAGCATGTATAGCATCTTCGTATTTTCTAAAAGCATATACATGTATGTTGTCAACATTTCACTTTGTTGTACTAACACTTGCATTAATTAAATACATCAAATTTCCAGAAAAACTTAGAATTGTAACCCAGACACCGACACTATAGAAAATCTCGATCCACTAATATTAGTTTTTCAAGCACTTTGTTTAAGGCAGTCACTGTGGGTGAAGATTTAAAATGTTCTAAAAAACTCTTTCCCTCCTCCAAACACTGTGTTAGTTGTGGGTCCAGTGGAATACATCCTGTAAAAATAATTAATATTTAATAAAATCTACCAGTAACTACATTTGCAAGGGTAGGACTGGTAAACAGTATATTCATAGGAGTTGAATAACACCTACTAATCACAGCGTACATGCACATTTTAAATGACTCAGTTCGTTTTTTAAACCAAGAATGACATTTATATATTAAATATAATAAAATGCTTCGCTGGGCGCAGCTTGATACGACCGCAGAGGTCGAACCCTGAACAGTTGGGGCAAGTATGGACACAACATTCAAGCTTGATACAGCTCTGAATTTGGATTGTGATTAAATATTTGACACAGCATAGGTTTCTGACACAGAAAGAATGTGGTCTAAGAACTTGAATTTTTTTAATTTACCTATTATGGTCCAATGTCCAAAATCAAAATACATGGTTAGATTCAGCATATCAAAGAACCCCATATATTCAATTTTTGTTGAAATCAAACAAAGTTTAATTTTGGACCCCAACTTGGACAAACTTGAAAACTGGTCCCATAATCAAAAATCTAAACACATGTTTAGATTCAGCATATCAAAGTACCCCAAGAATTCAATTTTTGTTAAAATCAAACTAAGTTTAATTTTGGACCCTTTGGACCTTAATGTAGACCAATTTAAAAAACGAGACCCAAAATTAAAAATCTAAAAACACGTTTAGATTTGGCATATCAAAGAACCCCAATAATTCAATTTTTGATGAAATCAAACAAAGTTTAATTTTGGACCCTTTTGACCACAATATGAAACAATTTGATAGCGGGCCTACAAAATAAAAAATCTAAATACATGGTAAGATTCAGCATATCAAAGAACCCCATATATTCAATTTTTGTTGAAATCAAACAAAGTTTAATTTTGGACCCCAATTTGGACCAACTTGAAAACTGGGCCAAAAATCAAAAATCTAAATACATGTTTAGATTCAGCATATCAAAGAACCCCGTATATTCAATTTTTGTTGAAATCAAACAAAGTTTAATTTTGGACCCCAACTTGGACCAACTTGAAAACTGGTCCCATAATCAAAAATCTAAACACATGTTTAGATTCAGCATATCAAAGAACCCCAAAAATTCAATTTTTGTTAAAATCAAACTAAGTTTAATTTTGGACCCTTTGGACCTTAATGTAGACCAATTTAAAAAACGGGACCCAAAATTAAAAATCTAAATACACGGTTAGATTTGGCATATCAAAGAACCCCAATAATTAAATTTTTGATGAAATCAAACAAAGTTTAATTTTGGACCCTTTTGACCTCAATATGAACCAATTTGAAAGCGGGTCCACAAATAAAAAATCTAAATACATGGTAAGATTCAGCATATCAAAGAACCCCATATATTCAATTTTTGTTGAAATCAAACAAAGTTTAATTTTGGACCCCAATTTGGACCAACTTGAAAACTGGGCCAAAAATCTAAAATCTAAATACATGTTTAGATTCAGCATATCAAAGAACCCCATATATTCAATTTTTGTTGAAATCAAACAAAGTTTAATTTTGGACCCCAACTTGGACCAACTTGAAAACTGGGCCCATAATCAAAATTCTAAACACATGTTTAGATTCAGCATATCAAAGAACCCCAAGAATTCAATTTTTGTTAAAGTCAAACTAAGTTTAATTTTGGACCCTTTGGACCTTAATGTAGACCAATTTAAAAACGGGACCCAAAATTAAAAATCTAAATACACGGTTAGATTTGGCATATCAAAGAACCCCAATAATTCAATTTTTGATGAAATCAAACAAAGTTTAATTTTGGACCCTTTTGACCTCAATATGAACCAATTTGATAGCGGGTCCACAAATAAAAAATCTAAATACATGGTTAGATTCAGCATATCAAAGAACCCCAAGAATTCAATTTTTGATGAAATCAAACAAAGTTTAATTTTGGACCCTTTTGACCTCAATGTGGACAAAGTTGATAACGGGGCCCAAAAATCAAAAATCTAAATACATGGTTAGATTCAGCATATCAAAGAACCCCATATATTCAATTTTTGTTGAAATCAAACAAAGTTTAATTTTGGACCCCGATTTGGACCAACTTGAAAACTGGGCCCATAATCAAGAATCTAAATACACGGTTAGATTCGGCATATCAAAGAACCCCAATAATTCAATTTTTGTTAAAATCAAACTAAGTTTAATTTTGGACCCTTTTGACCTTAATGTAGACCAATTTAAAAACGGGGCCCAAAATCCAAAAACTTAATACACTGTTAGATTCAGCATATTAAAGAACCCCAAGAATTCAAGAATAAAACCCCATTGAAATTAATCAAGAAATAAGCAATTTATACGAAGTATCTTCTTTTGCACAATACTGTGCAATTGAATATTTCTTGCTATTGTGCAATACTGTACAATTGACAATTTCTTGCTATTGCGCAATATTGTGCTATTGGATATTTCTTGCTATTGCGCAATACTGTGCAATTGAAGATTTCTTGCTATTGCGCAATACTGTGCAATTGAAGATTTCTTGCAATTGTGCAATACTGTGCAATTGAAAATTTCTTGCTATTGCACAATACTTATTATATAATAATTTACACATCCTGTTTGGTGTGTAACTCCTACCATATCATTATTATTTGCTTTTAAATATTAATCAGAAATAACCAACTTGAAATGGAAAATTTTAAAAGAAAAAAAAAAGGAAAAAAAGAAAAAAAAGAAAAAAAAAAAATCCCCCCCCCCAAATTTTTTGAACCCCCTTATGATTCATCACCCCCAAACTCAATCCCAGCCTTTCCTTTGTGGTATGGTACCTTGCAGTACAATTTCAGAGAGATCCATACACTTGAACACAAGTTATTGTCTGGAAACTAGAAAAATGCTTATTTTTGGCCCCTTTTTGGCCCCCAATTCCTAAACGTTTCAGGCAATTACCCCCAAACTCAATTCCAGCTTTCCCTTTGTGATATGGAACCTTGTAGTACAATTTCAGAAATATCCAAACACTTACACACAAGTTATTGTCATGAAACTAGAAAAATGCTTGTTTTTTGCCCCTTTTTTGGCCCCTAATTCCTAAAATTTTGAGGCAATTACCCCCAAAATCAATTACAGCCTTCCCTTTGTGATATGGAACCTTGTGGTACAATGTCAGAGAGATCCATACACTTACACACAAGTTATTGTCTGGAATTACAAAAATGCTTATTTTTGGCCCCTTTTTGGCCCCTAATTCCTTAACTGTTGGTACCATAACCCCCAAAATCAATCCCAACCTTCCTTTCGTGGTATTGAACCTTATGGTAAAATTTCATGGAGATCCATTCACTTAAACTAAAGTTAGAGTGCGAAAACCAATGTGTCTTCGGACGACGCCGGACGACGACGACGACGACGACGACGACGACAACGACGACGACGACGACGACGACGACGACGCCAACGTCATACCAATATACGACCAAAAAATTTTCAATTTTTGCGGTCGTATAAAAATAAGGAGATGTGGTATGATGGCCAACCAGACAACTATTCTCCAAAGTTCAAATTAATAGGATGTAAGCAATTATAGGCAACTGTACAGCCTTCAATAATGAGAAAAACCCATACTGTATAGTCAGCTATAAAAGGCCCCTCCAAAAAAATTTATTTTGAAAAATCCTGAAGAAACAAGTATGAACCCCCTCCCTTTCCCCTCAAAAAAAGGAGTAGGGCCGGTAAGACCCCTTTTTGGCCCCATAACTATAGAATTTCAAAAATTTGTTAAAAATGTAAACTTTCAGCTATTTATTTGAAAGAAGAATTCTTTTGTTACATGAATATGTGCTGTTTTTGACAATACAATGCACATGCATCAGGTACTAGCATCATTAATTCATTCAAAATTATTGAAATCTTCACAATTTTAGCATTTGTGCTTATTTTTAGACAGTTTTTGTCTAAAATGGAAGTGGCTGCACTCGTGTTCAGTCATAATACTTAAATATATGTTGTATTTGATGATGATACATAACATATATAAAGGTTGAGACTGAACACAAATGCGGCCACTTCCATTTTAGACAAAAACCATCTGAAAAGTGACGTTTTCTGGCATATTTGATAGATTTTTCATCTTTAAGCTTGAATTTAGGCGTCTTTAATGACCAAATCAGTTCAAATCTTTTACATAAACTAATTGAATCGACTGAAGTAGACACTTAAGTGTTTAAAAAATGTCAAAAATCATTCATCAGATGTACTTCAACTATTAGGCCAAAATAAGCCTTTACTGGAACTTCTCCTTTGTCCCACTCAAAATTTTTTTTTTGAAATAATAAGAAATTTTGAAAAATCATGAAGAAAAAAGTATGAACCCCCCCCCCCCAAAAAAAAATTTTTTTTCAAAAAATTTGAAGAAAAAAAATTTGAAAAAAATCCCCCCAAAACTTTTTGAACCCCCCCCCCCCCCAAATCTTTTTTGAAATTTTGAAGATTATATTCTTTTCAGGAAAAATGTACAATTTCAGAGAGTTCCATAAACTTTAACACAAGTTATTGTCTGGAAACTAGAAAAATGCTTGTTTTTGGCCCCTAATTTCTAAACGTTTGGGGCAATTACCCCCAAACTCAATCCCAGCCTTCCCTTTGTGGTATGGAACCTTGTAGTACAATTTCAGAGAGATCCATACACTTTAACACAAGTTATTGTCTGGAAACTAGAAAAATGCTTGTTTTTTGCCCATTATTCCTGAACCGTTGGGGCAATTACCCCCAAACTCAATCCCAGCCTTCCCTTTGTGATATGGAACCTTGTGGTACAATTTCAGAGTAATTGTCCGGAAACTACAAATATGCTTCTTTTTGGCCCCTTATTCCTAAACTGTTGGTACGATAACCCCCAAAATCAATCCCAACCTTCCTTTTGTGGTATTGAACCTTCTGGTAAAATTTCAAAGATTTCCATTCACTTAAACTAAAGTTATTGTCTGCAAACCAAATGTGTCTTGGACGATGACGACGAAGAAGACATGATAGCATTATACGAACGCAAATTTTTGCGGTCGTATAAAAACACAGACAGAATATGGCAGGGTATACATGAATACCATCCCTCATCTCGAACAACAAAAAAGACACTTAGTACAGATCTGAGAGTACTCGCAGTTACTGACAGCTAGTTCGAAGCCAATAACAACTAATAAAGGCTATATTTTATTAGACTTTATTTTCCACCAGATGTGTGACTTTTCTTTTGTAGACGAAACGCACGTCTGGCGCAATACAAAATTTCAATCCTTGTATCTATGATGAGTTTATTTGCATATATATACCAAATGTGTGTCTTTTGTCCATACAAGACTGGTGAATTCAGTATGGGAATAATAAACTTATCAATTAACATTGAAAGTATACCTGAATAAAAACATCTGTTACCCATTTAGCGAATCACACCTTAATAAAAAAATAAAAAAAATATCAGTCAATCCAAACTGAAGTTTCTTCATTTCTTCAAATAGGACTTTTTAGGATTATTAGCGTTCTTATTCATTGCAATGCTCATCTTTTGAACATACAAAATTTAGTTCAGATTGAATAGTGTGGAACGGGAAAGCTTAAAAAAGTTTGAATACAAACTTGATTGTAACTGTGAACAATAATCACAGTAGCTACATTCTGTAATTCAGTTTAAAACATTGTACCTTGACATAAAATGTGCAATTCCTTAAGATAAATTCGTAAGCATTTACATACTCCCATCCCTAAATTAAGAATCATATAAAGCAGGTATGCAATGATTGACCTACATTAAGGACAACCAATCATGTGATATGCTAGCTTTTATTATCCACACTGGTAAATTGAATGACAGGTGGTTTTACCTTTGAACCATCCAGATTGGTGAACCAACAATGGTAGCAAGTTATAAAATCATGGAACAATTCGCTTTTCATTAGAATTTGGAGTTTGAATATTTTTAATGCTTCAACACAAGAAGATATTTTTAGTCTGACATCACAAAATATTGTTTTATAGAAGCATTTAACAATATTGTCATTCCAAACACAGACCCAATTGGACCTGTTGCAACACATCAGCAAACTAAAAGGAAACAAATAGGATACATCTTAAACTGTTCCCCTTCTCAATTTTTTAATATATCTTCAGAACAATAACTTTTGAAAATCTGTCTCATATTAGCATATTCTGGTATTGGTAGTTCAATTAAAAATAAATTTTGTTCACTTTTCCAGAAAAATAAAATGTTAATATTACCGTATAGCGGGTTATTTTCGCGATTTAAGGGCAACAAGGTAAACGAAAAATTTTGGCGGTTTTTATTTTGGTGGATTCTTAAATCCCAAATAAATAATTTGGCAAATACTGAAATTGTTGCATATAAAATATTGAAAAATTGAGAAGCAAGTTAATTGATTTGTTTACCTAAATGATGTCTTATTTATTGATCTTGACCGGAACTTTGATGTACTCACTAATTAGGTTATCAAATTATCAAGACTGATTTACAACTCTTATGCAATTTGACACTAATAAGGGTAATTACCTGATAGAGTACGGTACCCTACTCATAATCTATTTGACACTAATTGATAAGGATTATACACACGTACGTGACAGTCATCTTATAAAATACATGTATGTTCAATGCCCTTTTTGTTTCTAATATTTAGTTAAAAATAACCTATACCATTATTGACCTACCGACAGACGCTTTAGCTATTAGAAAGTAACAAAAGTATGCATTAATTTTTGGCAGAATTTATTTTCGCGATTTTCTTTCATCCGCCAAAATAAGCGAAAATAAACACCCTGCGAAAATAACCCGCTATACGGTATTGAATCTATATCTATTTATACAAATGAAACATAACATCTTTTTTCTTGTTTTTTGTGAATTTTCCCTTTAAGGTCTTAAAGAATCTTAATTTAGAGATACTTACCTAAGAAAGGAATATGGTACTTCTTAGCCAGGGATTCTCCTCCACCTTTTGAAAATACATTTGTACACTCCTATAAATAAAACAATAATTCAACAAAAGTGAAAGCCTCAAGAGAACTGTCCTTAGACCAGCATCAGAGAGTTTTAATCAAAATTTTCATTTTAAAAATGCAAGTTGTAGAAAAGACTGGCAGTAAAATGAACAACTGTTAAAAAAGATGAACCATTTGTCACATTCTCCTTGCATTGTCAAAATTATCTGAAAATGATAGAACTGAACTACTTCTTAGAAAAAGATAATTCTATTGTTTAATTTCTTCTTTCAAAATCACACAGATGAAAGAAGTCCCTTATGTTCATTAATATAACAAAACAATATACTTACCTTTTTTAACAGAATGTGGACAGAAAAAAAATCTACCATACACATTTTTTAATTAAAACACAACTCACTCAAATATATGTGATTCATATCTGAACCAAAAAGTAGACAATACAAATCTTTTCATATTCTACTTACTGAACAATGAGGACAAACAAAGCCACTCATATTTTCGATAAGACCAATAATGGGTATGTGTGTCTTTTTACAGAAAGTTAACTCTCTAACTACATCGCCCACAGCTACTGCCTGCAAAATATCAAATAGAATTTAAACTATCATACGTACTACATCTGGAAATAAAATGCTCCGCTGGGGCGCAGCTTGATACGACCGCAGAGGTCGAACCCTGAACAGTTGGGGCAAGTATGGACATAACATTCAAGCTTGATACAGCACTGAATTTGGATTGTAATTAAATATTTGACACAGCATAGGTTTCTGACACAGAATGAATGTGGTCTAAGAACTTAAAAATTTTTAATTTACCTATTCAAACCATATCATTATTATTTGCTTTTATATATAAATCAGAAATAACCAATTTAAAATGGAAAATTTTAAAGAAAAAAAAGGAAAAAAAAATCCCCCCCCCCAAATTTTTTGAACCCCCTTATGATTCATCACCCCCAAACTCAATCCCAGCCTTCCCTTTGTGGTATGCTACAATTTCAGAGAGATCCATACACTTGAACACAAGTTATTGTCTGGAAACTAGAAAAATGCTTGTTTTTTGGCCCCTTTTTGGCCCCAAATTCCTAAACGTTTAGGGCAATTACCCCCAAACTCAAACCCAGCTTTCCCTTTGTGATATGGAACCTTGCAGTACAATTTCATAAAGTCCATACACTTACACACAAGTTATTGTCCTGTAACTAGAAAAATGCTTGTTTTTTTTGCCCTTTTATGGCCCCTAATTCTTAAAATTTTGAGGCAATTACCCCAAAAATCAATCCCAGCCTTCCCTTTGTGGTATGGTACCTTGCAGTACAATTTCAGAGAGATCCATACACTTGAACACAAGTTATTGTCTGGAAACTAGAAAAATGCTTATTTTTGGCCCCTTATTCCTAAACTTTTTGAGTTTACCCCCAAACTCAATTCCAGCTTTTCCTTTGTGATATGGAACCTTGTAGTACAATTTCATAAAGATCCATACACTTACACACAAGTTATTGTTATGAAACTAGAAAAATGCTTGTTTTTTTCCCCCTTTTGGCCCCTAATTCCTAAAATTTGGAGGCAATTACCCCCAAAATCAATCCCAGCATTCCCTTTGTGATATGGAACCTTGTGGTACAATGTCAGAGAGATTCATACACTTACACACAAGTTATGTCTGGAAGTTACAAAAATGTTTATTTTTGGTCCCTTTTTGGCCCCTAATTCCTTAACTGTTGGTACCATAACCCCCCAAATCAATCCCCACCTTCCTTTTGTGGTATTGAACCTTATGGTAAAATTTCATAGAGATCCATTCACTTAAACTAAAGTTAGAGTGCGAAAACTAATGTGTCTTCGGACGACGACGACAACGCCAACGTCATATAATAATAATAATAATAAATTCTTTATTTAAAGAGGGTAACTCAATTAGAAGTAGTCTAATTTTCATTGAGGCCCTCAAACAAAATACATGTATACAGTTAACATTCATACATTCGATTCATACATTAAAATACAATATATATTACTAGTATATACACAATTCAATCATTCAAACATACAAATGGCAATAAATGGCAATAATTGGTAAAGTTTTGATTAAATTTTCTTATTCTTACAATAAAAGAAAGAAAACAAATTATTCGACTTGCATAGAATTTTCAAGAAAATGATTATAACAATGTTTCTTAAATAATTCCACATTTCGACAATTTTTTATTTTGAGTGGTAAATTATTCCATACCTTTGTTGCAGAATAATGAAAAGATTTTTTATAAAAATTTTGTTTGGTCTTGGAACAAATAGATCATTATTAGAGACAGATCGTAAGTTGTGGTGTTGCACATCATTAATATTTAGCATTGTTAAGTAATCAGGTGTTAGTCCATTTACAATTTTATACATTAGAATTGATTGTTGGTATTTTATTCTTTTTGTAAAAGATAGCCATTTTAAAGATGAAAACATAAAATTAGATGGAACAGAAATATCGCATTCAAGTATAATTCTTACTACTCTTTTTTGAAGTTTTATGATTCTATCTGAATCTTTTTGTAATAAATTTCCCCAAACTGAACTACAATAGTCTATATATGGTAGGATATATGCATTATAAAATAGTTGTCTTGTGTGTATAGGCAAATATACTTTAATTTTAAACAAAAGTGATATTTTAGATGAGATAATCTTGCATATACGATCAACATGATCCTCCCAGCTTAAATTTTCATCAATGTCAATTCCAAGTAATTTGAAAGAATGGACATTTTCAATACATGTTTCATTGACGGTAATACATAATTCTGATAGTTGTGTAAGTTTTTGTTTTGAACCCAATTTCATACACTTTGTTTTTTGTGCATTAATTTTCATACTGTTATTGTTACACCAAGATTGTATAGCATTTAAATCATTTTGCAATATGCTGTTTATTTTTTCAATGTTTTTATTATGAAAATGCAATGTTGAATCATCAGCATATAAATCCATTTCGGAATGTTTAACATGAAGTGGTAAATCATTTATATAAATTAAAAATAACAGAGGACCTAAAATAGAACCTTGAGGCACTCCATATTTTACAAACGATTTATCAGATTTAATGTTAGCGTATTGAACTTCTTGTTGTCTCTCAGACAAATATGATTTTATCCAATCTATCGAATGTTCTCCGATATGATAAAATTTTAACTATTCTAAAAGTATGGCATGGTTAATAAGGTCAAAAGCCTTACTGAAATCTAAAAACACAGTACCAACTATTTCTCCATTGTCTAAATATTTTAACCATTCATCAATTAGTTTAGTCAGCGCTGTTTGACATGAATGACCTTGCCTGAAACCTAACTGAGCGATATGTAACATTTTTTTATTATTTAATAACATACATGTCTCTCAAAAACTTTAGATATGGTATTTAAAATAGAAATTGGACGATAATTGGAGGGAATATCTGTTGGTCCTCCTTTATGTATAGCAGTTACTCTTGCAAGTTTAAATTTTTGCGGAAAACGATTCGACGTTATACTTTTGTTTATTAGAAAAGTTAGTGATGGCGATATTATCTCTGCACTTAGCTTTAAAAGTTTTGGACCAATTCCATCTAAACCTGCGGATTTATTAATATTAAGGTGTTTTAGTTGTGAACACACCTCTCCAACAGAAATGAGTTTTAATTTAAAAATTTCAGTTTCCTTTAATTTTATACTAGTAAAAGTTTGTAGCTTAGAAAAATCCATATCTGAAGTATTATTTCCAATAAATAAATTTTTGGATTTAACTCTTTAATGTGATTCCAAAGTTCTTTACTATTTTTGGAACTAGATATAGCGTTCTGATAATATTCCTTTTTTGCATTAAATATTAACGACGTTGTTTTATTACGCCACTTTTTAAAGTTTACCCAATCTTTTTTTGAATGATACATATTTCTGTATTGAATGGAATTTTTAATTTCTTCATTGAACCATTCGGCTTGTTTAAATGTTTTTACTCTTTTAGTTTTTATTGGTGCGTGCTTGTTAATAACTTGATTAAAAAGTTCATACCATTTGTCGACAGAAATATCAATATCTTCTTCCATTTCAACAATATGAAAATGGGTTGGATGTAAGTCTGCACAAAAGGCATCCTCATTAAAGTTTTTGAAACACCTATACTTTATTTCGATATGATTTTCTTTCTTTACCTTTATATTGATTTTTCTATTTAAGCATACAGGGTAGTGGTCACTTAAAGCATATGAAGGAACATGACAATGAGCAATATTTTCAGGATTAGTAGTGTAAATATGATCAATAAGAGTTTCTGATTTGTCACAAATACGTGTTGCAGTGCAAATTTGTTGTTGAAGATTAAAATGGTTTATGAAATTCATCCACTTTTTATTTTCAAAATTTATCAAGTCAATATTAAAGTCCCCCATTAAAATGATCTCTTTGTTTTCTGAAAGAGCTGCGTTAAATTCCTCCTCAAAAAGATCTATCCAGGACTGAAGGGAATTTGGTGGTCTATAAACAGTACAAATGAAGAAAGGTTTAGATTTTGGAAATTCTACCTCTAACCATAAAGTTTCTAATGTGTTTATTGATAAATCAGATCTATTTTTAACTGCAATAGAATCTTTGACATAAACCAATAGACCACCACCATCCTTACTCTGGCGATCTTTTCTGAATATTTTGTATCCTGGCACTTTACATTGTTCATTGTTAATATCAGGTTTTAAGAATGTTTCAACTAATCCAAATAAATCTAAATATTTGTTGTTTATAGTAATTATATTCTTTAACTCGTCAAATTTAGATAAAATATGTCTAACATTAAGGCATACAGTATTGAAACCTTTACATTTTAGATTAAGACAGGTTTTTTTATAATGTTTGTTTCTATCACTTTTAGGTTTTGAGCTAAAGCTATTAGTGCAAATACCGTTTTCTGATGTATGACAATTTTCCCTGGAATTTTTGTTTTTAAAAATCTCAGCTTCAGGCATAGAGTTTTGAGTACATATACATTTTGATGTATTGCAATTTGGACATAAATAGAGAAGTATATCAAAATTGTTATGAAGAAGTAATGATTTACTATGATTTGAGAATTTGTCTACAAATTGAAATACATCAGTTTTATCCTAAAATGTGTGACAGTCTTTATAATGATGACCATAAAAGCCACAATTAAAGCAGATACCATTGAATGTATTTACAATGCTTTGTCTTTTACCATGCTGTTCATTATTTTCATTATTGGACTGAGAACTATTTGTGCGGATGAAGATGTTTACAACCCTGTTAATGTTTCTAAGTAGCTGAATTGTACCCTGATTAGTAAGGTGTATGCCATCACGGTGATAGTAAGTAGACACAAGATTGCCGCCTCTGGAAACAAATGCATCCATTTGTTTGATGATTTTAAAGTTAAGTTCTGTTGAAATCCCATGTAAGATAGTATTATAAACATCTGTATTTACGTTCCATCTTGGACAAATTTTTGATATGACAATATCAATGTTTGGGTTTATAGATCTGACAGTTTTTATCATAAACTCGTAGTTCTCTTTGAAGGCTTCTGGTTGTGTTCTG